GAATTCAGCTACGAGAAGCTGCCAGAACACGTTGTTCCAGTTGTCATGGAGCAGACCGAGAAGAAGGATGAACCATCATTGAAATCCAAGATTACCGGATTGTTCAAGAAGTCTTCTGCTCATGCTGACTATCCAGTCTCCGAGCATTATGATGGACCATTGGATTCAACTCATCGTGCCGAGAACCTTCAAGACGTTCCACTTTCTCATGAAGTCACTTCCTATCCATCTGAATTCAGCTACGAGAAGCTGCCAGAACACGTTGTTCCAGTTGTCATCGAGGAGACCGAGAAGAAGGATGAACCATCATTGAAATCCAAGATTACCGGATTGTTCAAGAAGTCTTCTGCTCATGCTGACTATCCAGTCTCCGAGCATTTTGATGGACCATTGGATTCAACTCATCGTGCCGAGAACCTTCAAGACGTTCCACTTTCTCATGAAGTCACTTCCTATCCATCTGAATTCAGCTACGAGAAGCTGCCAGAACACGTTGTTCCAGTTGTCATCGAGGAGACCGAGAAGAAGGACGAACCATCATTGAAATCCAAGATTACCGGATTGTTCAAGAAGTCTTCTGCTCATGCTGACTATCCAGTCTCCGAGCATTATGATGGACCATTGGATTCAACTCATCGTGCCGAGAACCTTCAGGACGTTCCACTTTCTCATGAAGTCACTTCCTATCCATCTGAATTCAGCTACGAGAAGCTGCCAGAACACGTTGTTCCAGTTGTCATCGAGGAGACCGAGAAGAAGGACGAACCATCATTGAAATCCAAGATTACCGGATTGTTCAAGAAGTCTTCTGCTCATGCTGACTATCCAGTCTCCGAGCATTATGATGGACCATTGGATTCAACTCATCGTGCCGAGAACTTTCAAGACGTTCCACTTTCTCATGAAGTCAGTTCCTATCCATCTGAATTCAGCTACGAGAAGCTACCAGAACACGTTGTTCCAGTTGTCATCGAGGAGACCGAGAAGAAGGACGAACCATCATTGAAATCCAAGATTACCGGATTGTTCAAGAAGTCTTCTGCTCATGCTGACTATCCAGTCTCCGAGCATTATGATGGACCATTGGATTCAACTCATCGTGCCGAGAACCTTCAAGATGTTCCACTTTCTCATGAAGTCACTTCCTATCCATCTGGATTCAGCTACGAGAAGCTACCAGAACACGTTGTTCCAGTTGTCATCGAGGAGACCGAGAAGAAGGATGAACAGTCATTGAAGTCCAAGATCACTGGATTGTTCAAGAAGTCACCATCTCATCTTGACTATCCAATCTCGGAACAATACGAAGGACCACTCGATTCAACTCATCGTGCTTCCAACATCCACGACATTCCTCTCACAACCGAAGTCAGCTCCTATCCAACGGAATTCAGCTACGAGAAGCTGCCAGAACACGTTATTCCAGTTGTTGTTGAAGAATCCGAGAAGAAGGATGAACAGTCATTGAAGTCCAAGATCACTGGATTGTTCAAGAAGTCACCATCTCATCTTGACTATCCAATCTCGGAACAATACGAAGGACCACTCGATTCAACTCATCGTGCTTCCAACATCCACGACATTCCTCTCACAACCGAAGTCAGCTCCTATCCAACGGAATTCAGCTACGAGAAGCTGCCAGAACACGTTATTCCAGTTGTTGTTGAAGAATCCGAGAAGAAGGATGAACAGTCATTGAAGTCCAAGATCACTGGATTGTTCAAGAAGTCACCATCTCATCTTGACTATCCAATCTCGGAACAATACGAAGGACCACTCGATTCAACTCATCGTGCTTCCAACATCCACGACATTCCTCTCACAACCGAAGTCAGCTCCTATCCAACGGAATTCAGCTACGAGAAGCTGCCAGAACACGTTATTCCAGTTGTTGTTGAAGAATCCGAGAAGAAGGATGAACAGTCATTGAAATCCAAGATTACCGGATTGTTCAAGAAGTCTTCTGCTCATGCTGACTATCCAGTCTCCGAGCATTATGATGGACCATTGGATTCAACTCATCGTGCTTCCAACATCCACGACATTCCTCTCACAACCGAAGTCAGCTCCTATCCAACCGAATTCAGCTACGAGAAGCTACCAGAACACGTTGTTCCATTTGTTGTTGAAGAATCCGAGAAGAAGGATGAACAGTCATTGAAGTCCAAGATCACTGGATTGTTCAAGAAGTCACCATCTCATCTTGACTATCCAACCTCGGAACAATACGAAGGACCACTCTATTCAACTCATCGTGCTTCCAACATCCACGACATTCCTCTCACAACCGATGTCAGCTCCTATCCAACGGAATTCAGCTACGAGAAGCTACCTGAACACGTTGTTCCATTTGTTGTTGAAGAATCCGAGAAGAAGGATGAACAGTCATTGAAGTCCAAGATCACTGGATTGTTCAAGAAGTCACCATCTCATCTTGACTATCCAATCTCGGAACAATACGAAGGACCACTCGATTCAACTCATCGTGCTTCCAACATCCACGACATTCCTCTCACAACCGAAGTCAGCTCCTATCCAACGAAATTCAGCTACGAGAAGCTGCCAGAACACGTTATTCCAGTTGTTGTTGAAGAATCCGAGAAGAAGGATGAACAGTCATTGAAATCCAAGA